TATTGTTGTGTTCCTTTCAAATGATTTCATATAATGTGTATATGATGTTTGTACAGTCTCTTATAACTCCACTATGGAGTGGCAATATACTTTTTATTATGACTGTGTATATATATATTGATTGTAACTTGTATGAATGTATATTGATGAGACTTTAATAAATAATAATATATACTACCATGAAAAGATATTTTATCGCGATCTTCTTCACATGTCTCAAGCTTATTATCTTAGTGATGGAGAGACCAGTTTTGTATGAATACAGATAAAAGAAAACATACGCTGTATTTTTAACATGAATATACATTTGTATAAAGTTACATACATTTTGACCATTCAAATTAAATTTGAAATAGAATTAAAGTATTTCGCCAGCCTTTATTATAATTTAGCTGGTTACATTTGTGCAGAAAAGCAATCTTTTGTTTCTTATTTAAAATGAGTAGTTATAATATTATATATGTAAAAATGAAAAAAAAGAAAGAAAAAAAAACAACCTGTATGTAAAATATATTTTGTTGCTCACAATCCTCGTCTCTTACTTCCTAAAATATTGCTTTATTGTTTTGTTTCGCTTTTAATCAAACAATACGTGTAATCTAATGGCATAAAAGAAATGAAAACTAGAGACAATCTCTCAATAGACGTGCTGCACGGTAATTTTGTAATTTGATTCATTAGGCAATTTCCAGAAAATCTTTGTTCACAAAATTGCTTTATATTGAAGTACATCTTGGCACCAAGGCATTGGATTCAGGCGAGAAGTATTTCTTTGCAGTTATGGTCTCTACAAGCAGCTAGTAATTTAAGGTTTACAAAGCCATTTAAAGCTTGCAAAATGTTGTTTTACATTATCAAATGTCTATAATTATGCCTATAAAAGTTGTTTAATAATTTGTTGGTCAAATACTTTTTGGCCAACATTGGACTTTATTACGAACGAAATATAAAATTGTTTCCGATTTGGCATCCGATTATTAATCAATTTATGTTGAATTAATGTAGTTATAACTAAATATATTATTAAATAGCGTAATTGGGTTTTATATCCATGCATTTTAAAACATGCACTAATCTGCAATTGAAAAACAGGGTATTTTAAGTTCAAGTAGAACGTTGGTCACACAATACGTGAGAGAACAGTAACAATATGAAATACAACAAACCATACACATTAAGATTTTTGTCAGAAATACAATAGAAATTGATCGCGTTTGATTCACACTAGTCTTCATACAACATATTATCTGAAGTAATCAACGTGTCAAATTTGAAGTAAATATAATTTCCGATAACAGTTATATTTCCTCGCCGCTGCTTGTATAGTTTCACTGTCTACAAATTGTTGGAGATCGTGTTTAATACGAAAAGAAAACTCATTGTATTACCATGGGAGATATAGTATTATCGACGTGTTTGTGATTGTACTCGCGTTCATTTCACAATGTGTCAGTATACATTTAATGTCATATGTTTTCGTTATACAACACAAACAGATGAATAGTGATTTTTAATTTGCTTGGACAGTATTTCGTTGTGGCAGATTTAAGAATTTCGTGTACAGTTGTTCTTCACGATTTCACTTCATGTTTATTTAAGCGTGTACTACTGGATTATTATATTAACTTAAGATGTAAATATATTCAGCAGATGATGTAAAAGAAGGGCTGTTATCTTAAAGTATTTTTTTTAGAAATGTTGACGCTCTAAAGAAGGAACTGTTTTTCTTCATTCATATTATTCTTATCTTTAATATTTTTATCAAGAATCATTGATGCGTAACACTAATAAATTGGTATTAAACAATTATGTATAGAAGGTATTAACCGTATCAAAATTTCCAACTATTGGATACTGTGTATGACTCGCTTATTCAGCGTGTTATGAATGGCATGCAATGTTGTCAGCCTGAACATGTGCTTAAATACATTTACTTTTTATGGGGGACTTGAATAGTCTTAAGAACTCATAAGAATAAATATGGGTAATTTTTTGTTGTTTTAGACACGATCTGCCACTTTAAAGTTAAATGATACATTATACCTTGGTATATTTAAACAATTACTGCTGTAGTATTAATATTGACTTTATCGCTGTGACAGCTGCAGGAGTGCGTCATTTAAACAGCTTTAACGGCTGTTTTTATTCTCATCAAGAAATGCAAATATTTTATAAAAATCTTTAAATTTTATTTTTGTGGTAAACATTTTCAAAAACAGGATTATTACGATTAACAAAACACATTAGGGGAAAATTGCAAATTTTCATTATTTCAGCGACAAAACTGAATAGATCTGAATTTCTAAAAGATATCATATCTACAGCATATATCTGAAATTGTACAAATTGCGTAAAACAAAACAAAGTGAAAGATGGAGAATTTGAAATCTCGGTTCCGTGCACGTTCGCAATCAGTGAATGAAAGACCGTATATGTCGATTTTGAATTTTCGTGATCGATTAAAACAACATACAAGTGATAATAAGGTATCAAATAAACGGGATATACACATGCACCATCTGGATGTTACTTACAGACAGCGGACATTTAGGTATTGTATATATATTTATCTCAAGTTTAAGAGTAAGAAGTTTGCAAAGTGTAAATCATAAATATAACTCAAATGATTATTGTATAACTGTCAGAAATACAGGGCAACCTCGGCAGAGAATTTCTCTGTCAAGAAATTAATTTCTTTTTCGAAAATAGATAAAGTTTTTCCAAAGTTATATTTCATTATAAAATAAACTTTACTAGAACATGAACCAGCTGATTTTTTTTGTCTCCGAAAGCGTGTTGCTTTTCAGAAGTTGAAATATATTTAAGTGGTCTTAATTGAAATCAAATTCATTATTAGTACCCACAGCGTTTAAATGTTCCTGTTATGATATACCTGTTTTATACTTGTATAATGCAATTGTCACAAAGCACGAAAATATTCTTGTATATTTATTTCTTATGACATAAATACGAAGTGATCAGTTTACACATGTTTAGTTTAAAGCAAAGCGAAGAATATTCCATCGCATGCATCTACTGATTAGCTCAATGTAACGAGTTATCGTATATTGACACTCTAACAGAATAGGATAGTAGATGCCTTGGAGTCACAAGACTTATTGCGGTAATTCAGTTGTAAAAGTTCGCTCTTTTATACCGTACTCTGAATAATTTACCTGTTATGTCATGTATGTTGGTAATGACTATATAACAAAAGTCGTTTGCTCCGGGGAAATATTGTTGTAATTAAATAAAGAATAATGAATAAGGTATAGCAAAGTATTGGCTAAACCATTGGTAAATAAGGGGTTGTATCTGGATAGAAAACAGATATGAATTTAATGCATGTATGTGAAGATATGGGATGATTCATTTAAACAAGAAAATAATACTATTATTTCGACATAAAATGCGTTACTCTTTACTTGGTAATAACTGTTTTGATGCATCAATTAATCCCGATCAAAACGGTCTGTATTCTTTTATAGTTTTACTCTTTCTGGTCACCCATTGTGGCATTCAGACGTTGGTTACTTCTCTTATGATATCATACTATATACCTCTTCAATTATGTACCCATTAGTCCGAGAATATATGCACTTTGTTTTTCTGGTTAAGATGATGAATATCACATACTTTTGGTGTGTAATAACTTTCTGAAAAATTATACCGGATGCATTAACAAGAATACCAAGTAAATGCAGAGACGGCATCATATCAAAATGACATTATATTCATTTGTTTTTCATTTTCAAGTTCATCCAAATGATCTATTCAAAAGATTGACTGTTATAATGGTGATTTAGCAACAATGGATATAGGAAAATGTTAAGGATAAAGTATAAATCTGCCTGAATGTAAAAAGACTGCTCCACTATTCATATAAATTGAACGTTACAGGGAAATTGCAATTGATATTTAAAAAACTTCCCTATGGCCACGTGAGTTATTTATCGTTTGTTGGAGGTTAATTATAAAACGGAATTTGTAAACTTATTTTTATTTTCACATGTTCACTCACAAAATAACTTTGGATGGGTATAATGTCAGTTTAATATCACATCCTGTTGATGGTAATCGCTAACGCCTCAATTGACATCACTTGTCTCTCTGATGAACATTTTGTTTTACATGCACTATTAATTTTATTATACCGTACACATCAATAAGATACACACTACAACATAATACCCTGAATGTATTAACATACCTGTTGATGTAAAAAATATATCAGTGCAAATTGTAAACAGTTACTGGTATACATCTACGGTCCATATATTTCATACATTTATGATGATTTATATAGAATTGGACCGCCACTGATTATTTTGTAAAAAAACCTGTATTATATGTTTGTATATATGTACTCACAGGCATTTGCCTTTTGTTCAATAAAATTATTCATATATCCCTTTAAAAATGAATTCATACTCGTGCTTGTACCTCTAATCTAACAGTAATGTATCTTAAATTTAGTTCATAAATACTTGACATAAACATAGCATGTATAGTAAGAAAGCAAGAACAAGTCGATATGATATGTATAGTTTCGTTTATATATATATATATATTGTGTAACCATTTATTTGAAATTTGTGAAATACTGATTACGGAGACAGTTTTCAAAAAAAGCTTTACAAGCTTCCTACTCAATCCGTAAATTTTATTTTATGTTCTTCATTATGTAAATGTGTGGATTATAAATAAAATATTGTTTTAACTAAACTACTGTTCATATATAATCTTGATCTTACTGTGTTTTAAATGTTTTGCGTAAATTGTATTATTTCAAACCGGAGGCCAATGTCACATGAACAATAAGTTTTTGGAAGTTGCCGCTATTTCACTATAAGTTCATGTGCTATTCGTTTGTCTTTATAAAGGTAGAGAGTGCGTGCTATTGGCAAAGTAGAATTTTCTGGCAATATTTCCATAAAAGTAATCGATGAAAGTAATTTGATAATGTACATTCTTTTGTCTAAGAGTATTATTAATCCCAGCAAACACACGGCGTTAAAGTAACGTCGGGTTAACGTTAGTTTTTGATCACGACGTCGGCGACCAAAATACGACGTAAAGCTGACGTCCAAAAACCGATGTCTATTAGACGTTTCTTTTTGACGTCGTACTAATGTCAGGTTCTGGTCGGTGTCCTGACGGTAGGTAAAAAATTAATAAAAAATAATCCTTATCCGCTGTTGTAATCATTTAAACTTTTTTTTCAAATGTTATTTGGCTTACAAATTAAGTGTATCAAGTGCCTTTCGAAGACCAAGTGTTCGGCGCTGCAACCTAATAAACATATAGGTGGCGCTGTATATAAGCAAGTTAAATTACATGTGTTATTGTTATGAAATCTATTTATAGCCACAGATCTGTTTACGAGTTCCAATCATTTAACGTTATAATATTATCATTTGTGGTACATTATATGTTTTTAATAGTGATTTAACATTTAATCATAGTGACAGAAAAAGGAAATATAACATTATTATAATTCGAATATACAGCCACGTGGAGGAAAAATTCAAATTCGTAAGCGTTTCGTACGTTTTGGCGGAGGTCAGGAATCGGGATGTATTGATAAAGTGAATATTCTAGATTTTCTTGGAGAAAAAGGTCAGTTCAATTTATTTAAATTTATTTCTACTTTGTATTTGATAAATAATTGCATGATTGCAAGTATTCTTAAATTTAATAATCATTTTTTGAACAGTTGAAGCAAAATGTCTCACAATTTCGCGATAATGTCTATTAATAAATCATTTCAAATTTGGCATGTTCTAACTCTGCTCGTGAGGAGTTTATAATGTGCCTTTCAATACAACCAAAGAAAATGCTTAGTTTTCATATTTTTGTTAAATTGTGATGTTTTGTCAGTTAAAATCTGAGAATTGAGAATGTTTTTTGTACGATTTTGAGCATTTCGGACCAAGACGTTTCGGTCCCAGTCATTTCGGCATTTTCCCAATCGGCCCAAATTTTGATCAGAATACATCTTACCTTAATGTGTTTTACACCAGATTTTAATAGCATTCTAATAAATGAACGGAAAATAAACGAAAGAGCGAATTGATTGATTATCTAATTTAGTAGTTATAGAATGTCGCTTCATTTAATCATTGGTAGGAAAAATGCAATCAAAACAATCAAAACAGAACATAAAATTTTTAACAAAACGTAGTACATAAACATACATTTATCATTAACAATTTATTAACAAGTTTTAATTTGAAACTATGAAAAATTTAAGTGTGAAGACTTGCGTAACTGTTCTATTTAAAAAGTAGAATATACATAAGTTAGAATATAATTTTATTTTCAGGTAGTTCAAGTGTTGGACATGCTCTTAAAGGTCGGAGGGACAGAAATACGTGACAATGTAAAAAGAAACATGGGAAAGTAAGATTTTTGTAAATTCTATACATACTTTAATCCATACTAAACTAGAGTTTTAAGTGGCCTTTTAAATTTTCAGTATTCATGTTTACTTTTAATTTTTGTTTAAGTTCACTTCTAAAAAGCTTGCAAAGTTGTTCATTAAGTTAAGATAACTAAGTTAAGATAACTTTAAAAATTACTATTATTATTACTATTATAGGGCAGATAACGATAAAAAAAAATTTGCTTGTTTTTTTTCCATTTTTCATAAATTTCTTTTTTTTCAGTGAAAATGATATAACAAACGCCATTGGACCGTAACATATCCTCCAGACAGACGAGGGGTGGTGAGAGAAGGTCATACATGAATATCTGAAAGCATCACACCTCCAAATTTGTGCTAATTCTCATGGATATTTAAAAGTATAACTTTGTGAAGTAACTAAAAGGAAGTAATTTATACGTTAGTGTCTGTAAGTGACAGTTATCAAAAGGAGGTAAAAATATGCCAAAATAGAACTAAATGTTTTAGTTATGCTGTAGAAATAGAGTTAAAATACTGCAAATCTAAAATCTGTCATTAATTGTTTGAACCATTATTATCCGAATCGTTTAACATTTCTTGAAATTATAATATTTTCATTTTGTTTATAAGGCAAACTTTGAATATCCTCTATATGTTTTATTTATTTCATTGTTTTTGTAATACTGTTTGTTTTGTTATAAACTTATTTTATGTTTTATTTTGTTTAATTTATGAAAAGTATTTAGCCTTGCAGAATTTACTAAAACTGTATGTATCAGCTTTAAATTGCAACTTTTATTTTAAATAAAAACAACATGAAAACATATTTTTGCTTTTAGTTTTTTGTTATACATTTCATTGGAGTGAAAGTTACTTAATAGAATGAGTTACATTAAATTTGAGCCATAAAATATCTATAACATGGTAAAACAAAAAGGATTAGGGAAATGATCAGGTTAAGGTCAGAAATTGGTCGGATTTAGGGCAGAAAAGGATTAAGATTTAGGTCGGAAAATGGTCAGATTGAGGTCGGAAAATGGTCAGAAACTGGTTAGATTTAGGTCGGAAAATGGTCAGATTCAGGTCGGAAAATGGTCAGAAACTGGTTAGATAATGGTCAGATTTTGGTCAGATAATGGTTAGATTCTGACCTCTACCTGACGTCAGATTATTACGTCAAAAAAACTTTCAAATCCAACCGTTTTCCCGACCGTCATCCGACGTCAGAACCTGACTTAAATCTGGCGTCAGCTTGACGTCTTGTGTTTGCTGGGATGTGTTTCTAATTTTTGACTTATCACGAAAGATAAATCTCTCTTTATTACACTTTCAATGTTGAACTGAAAACTTGTTAATTCTTCTTACACGCGGATGGAATACTTGTAAACGATTTATTCTGAACATAACTATGTTTTATACATGTTTTCATAATACATGGTCGTTTATAACACTGAAATATTCATATTTTAATCAGCATATGCATCAAATCATTTCATTATTAGAAGCGCAATTATTTCGAAGCAATATACTTGTACACTCAAACCTTTTATCCTCTTTTTATTATTGTTCAAGTCAGTGACATTATGCTCTTGAAAAACAGTGTCATCTTAATCACATTTCCCAAAACAATTCTCTTTTCTATTTGCTCTGTTAACAGTTCGTTTCTCGGAATGGGCAATTGTTCTCTATATAAGATCTTATGAGAACATAACAGTGCATTTTTTCTTAACGATTTGTATTTTTCCTGAACAGACTCCAGTGAGGATTTTTTTTTTATAAAAGACGGGACTGGAAATATTTTCCCGAGATTTTAAACAATTTGATGTAGATCTAGAAACTCATGTGCAAATTTTCAGATCATTCCTACTACCCCGTTTCTTTTAGAATAATCTTTTTATAGTGCAAAATAGCACAAACTATTAAGGTTTTGCAGCCCTTTTCATTCAAATCGTATTGAATACTTTATAACACATACCTTTTTCATCCTGTGCAGGGTTTTTAATGCATATTTTTTTTTCTTTTTAGACTCTTTGACCTCAGTGAGCTCCTTTAAATCACGCCGGTGTCACGACCTTTATGATCATTCTTATATTTCTTAATTAATTAACTTTTCAATATAAGGCAGTTTTCACTTCAAATGTAAGGCTAATATGAAGTTAGCCACGATATTATGAACATAAAACAAGACCATTATGTAAAATGTACGGCTGTTTTGGTTTACGACAAAAAGAAAGCTCGGCTATTATGATATAGGAGAATTTTGATTGGCTCTCTAACTCGGCCATTATGAATTTGCTTTTTTGCTTTTTAATTGAAAAAGTCGCCATTTTGAATGACTGCAAGCTAGGTTACCGAGACATTTTTAAAACAAGAATCTCATTTGCAATACCTAACAACAACGGAATTTTACATTACGTATTTTTTGGTTCACTAAATACTTAACTATTTTAGATTATGTGTATAGTAAATTAATAAAATTGTCAATAATTCTTTTTTAGATTATGTGAAGTTAATAAATACAATTGTCAATAATTAAGTGTTTTCAAAATGGCCTTGTATTGGCGTTAGACTTTCATAAATTATTAGCCTTCGGCCTTTGACCTCAGAATAATATGACAGTCTTCAGCCAATTAACAAGGCCATTATGAAAACACTAAGTTATTAACATTATAGTATTTTTTCTATTGATCATAATGGCCTATAAAGAATGTATTTGTTATTGTCATGTCTTAATTTTTTTGTCATTAAAGAGAAGTTCCTTTACCTGCCATGATGTCCATTAATGAAAGGAATAAAGGGAATCATAAAATTCATGATAGAAAATTCTTGGAACAAGTTGTTTTAAACAATTAATTAAAATCAATGCAATATTTTTATACCTCCGCAAACATCTGGCTCGTCCTGAAAAAAGGCATCAGTCGTGATTAATAGTTGTACGAATATTAAATTGTAAAGATTCCTCTGTCATTTTTTCTCGCACAAACAAATTTAGACAACGTCTATAGCTTGCAGAAAATTGTACTGCGCCAGTGATCAGTAAAGTATACTAAATGCGTCACAGGGAAATTAAAAAGTTCTATAAAACTCGAAAACTTTAATTAAACAATGCACAATCGTTAAGTCAATTCAGAATCTAGTGAAATTGCATCTTATTCTAAGAATTAAAACGGGCATGTTGATAGTGAAACTAAATATCATTTTTATTATTTTAACACATTGCAAGTTTCTTGAGTACATGAACATGTAATTTAACCTGCACTGTTCTTTGAAACTCTTTATTAATGGTTTTATTTGTTAAATGGAAGATTGCACTGTAAACTGTGCTGGAAAAAAAACTGTGTAAAAAGCCCGTTGAGGACGACAATTTCTTTAAAATCGTGACACGTTGCCTTGAGTTATATTTAAATTAGTTTCAGGGAATTTATGATTATGTTTTTTTATACTTTTATATAAAAATGTTGTGATAGGGCATGAATACAATTCAAAGAATTTTTATTTGAAACTACTAATAGCATTATAGATTCAAATTGATATAAAGTATGGTACTGTTTTGAAGTAAAATATGATATTCAAGAATATCTATTTTGAATAGACCTACAAAGTTAAATCAATATAATTATAAAGATATCATTAAGATATTAAAGACATACCTGAAAATGTTATTCGGAAATAAATAGATAAAAAGGCATACACGTCTTGTTAAACAAAAGAAAGAGGTGCTTACTAAACGTAATATTTAAATATTTTAGGACACTTGTTTCAAGAATATTTCTTTTAACCGTTTCTAAGAAATGTTCAACCATTAAGCATGAATATTAATGACACATTTTAAAGTTAATTTAGTTAATATTCAAGGTATTTTAAATCTTAATCAATACTCGAGACTTGAAAATGCATTAAACTTTAAAGCAGCATTCCTCCAGATGAGTGAAAATATTTCAATGAAACCAAATTTGTGAAAAAATGTACTAAGATTTTAGAAAAAGTAGAAAGATTCAACATTCAAGTAATAATTTACATGTTATGAGCGATTAATGGTGAATTTTGCATTATGTGAAACTATATTTCTACTGCGTTACTAACGCAGTAAGGGCATTTTTTGCATATTTTGATATATTTTTGTAATGAACATCGGTTGTACATGTAAGTGCCAATGATAATGTGAAAATTGCTTCCTTTTGATTACCATGCAATACCATTCAGTTTATATATCGTATAAAGTGCTTTTTTATCTCATTGAATTGCATGACCTTGTAGGATGCATTATTTATGGATAAAGACACTTTTTTACGGTATTAAAGGGAGACACAGGCAAAATTTTCATTTCTTAGTTTTGAATTTTTCATTCATTATTCTGTAAATGCCCTCAAAATGAATATATTAGACAGTCAAAGGAACAAAACTTTTCTCTATATAAAGAATAAAATGGTGGTTTCCTAACTTGACCCGCGTGGGTTAGGTTAGAGCGCTTAGATTTCACAATAGTTGTCAAAGTGAACTCTGGAAACGTTAAAGAACATGTCAAATGAATGACTTAGGCTTGTTTCAATCATACACTATCCACAGTATCTGTTATTGTAACTTCAAGTCAACTGACTTGTTTTAAAGCTATTTGATGATTCTATTGGCGTCTAAATTTTGTTCAACATATATAGATATATTTACGCTTCAAACCCAAAATATATAGAATTTAAACTGAAATCAATGCTGAAACTTCAAGAAAAGTCATTTTAGCGTGATTTGAGTACATAAGATCATTTCAATATTTTTGTCATTATTTTGCCTGAATATCCCTTTAGGTGATCCCATATCCGTGATATGCACGTCTCGTATAATCAGCGGTATGTTAATGTTAGGTTTGACGATAATTGATATTGATTAACCCTTACACACAAGTCCACTTATCTTCATCTTCACGTTTTCAACTACAATGTAGAACTAGCGTTGTAGGGACAAAAAAGGAAAACTATTGGATAAAAAATATTGTTAAATTTAGAATGGTGTTGCTTCGTGGGAGAATATTTTATTATAGAAAATAATCTATTTTTATCTGTTCACTGATATTTAAGGAATGTATTCCAAAGTGCGGGCAATAAATGATACAATGTCTCTCCCACTGTCATCCAAATATAGGTTTAATGAAACCGAATCTTAAAATTCTCTTTATGCCATCTTTACAATTTCACTTGCACTTAAGTATCATAGCTTCTTTGTAAAGTACAAGTGCAGTTGTTTATGATAATCACTTTAAATTTCAGAAAAATAGCTTATGTTGTCTGTGGGCAATGAAGAATGAAAAATTAAAGATTAATATATCAAATTCATGTAGAGATGATTCAACAACATAAGGAATTCAGTCCAGTCCTTGAGTTATCAAAGAACGGGATACGAATTTTAAGATGTATACTTTACAATAATTTAAAAGGACTTTACTTTACTTGAAAATTATGAAATTTTATCATTTTCGTGACATAAATACTGACTTTAGAAAGAAAAAACCATAATCAGACTGGATGATAAAGAAACAAACAATGAACATAAAAGTTTGTCTCAAGTAGTGTTTGAACACACGCTCTGTGTGAACTCTGTTTTTTCTCTGAAAATAAATGATCTTAAAGAAAAGATGATCTGCACCTTAGTGAAAGGCAACTCCATTCATGAATATACCGAAATACTAAATATTGCATCTAATTTATCTTAAAGGAAAAACTTGTTCATGAGATGTTTTTGTTTTATGTGGTTTATTAATATCCATTCATTGATATTTTAGGAATGTTTTAAATAGAAGAGACAGTTATTAATAAAAATGTCTCTCCAATTGCCATCTATAAATAGCTTTCCTTAAACCGAGCCGTTTTGCTTTTTGCAACCTTTAAATATTCTTGATGCACTCTTTTGCCAGTTTTAATGTGTTGCTATTTATAGATAATTGCGATACAGAAACAGTTGTAGAACATTACAATAAATATCACAAAATTGGATTTGATGGGACAAAGTAATTTATATAACTGTTCAGTTTCGTATAAATTTGTATAAAATAGCCGTTCAATTCAGGTAGTTATCGTGACTGCTTTGTCAAGAAAAACCTCATATGGTTTTCAGACATTGTTTAATGACTGGACCTTGTTCATTTTCTGTATCAAATACAAAAATCCATGAAGGTTGTAAATGATCTAAAACCAGACGTATTATTGTATGTAATTCAATTCACAATGAACATTAAAGCAAATGTTTATATTCACCAAACTTATCCGATATTTCGATGGGAT